TAGCCAAACGGAAAAGGGCGCCAATCAATGAACTCTTACCGGCTCCCGTTCTCCCAACAATTCCTATATAAAATCATTTTTCTAAACATGAATTCAATTGGCAAAATACATTTACTCACCTATCTTCTCTTTTGGTTTGATCACAAACGATAGTTCTTGTAAAACTGGTTTGGCCTCGGCGAAATACCGATAGAACACATTTCGGAATTCAATGCAGCCACTCGATGGCCAATCGCTCGTGATGACTGCGGGCTTTTCAGGCTGTTTTTCCGATTCCAAATCACGATATTCCAAAACACGTTCAATAGCGACCAATCGAGTGTCAACGTCGGCGCTTTGTCTCACCGCTGGAAATAACGTAATTTGTATTAATTATCAAATCGACTATAAATACTTTGATTCATTACCCCATGAAACTTTACTGGAAAGACCTATAGCTTGCGATACAACTAAGCCAATCTTTTCATTAGAAACTTCCTGATCGAATAATATATAATAAAAAATTGAGCAACAGATAAATATGGTGCACACTATGTCCAAACAAAATCCAAACGTGGCAACTGTCGATGAACCCATAAAATAGCAGGTAGTATGGGTATCTTGATGATTGTCGAATTCTCTTTTTAGTATCTCTTCGACTTTGTATGCACGAACAGTTGTCAACCCATTCAAAGTAGCCGCAATATGAGTATATACCGGAGATTTTGCTATAATATTTATAAATGATTTATAAATGTTATAGAGTTCATTTTTCTCCTTCTACTCACCAGCTCCTTCAAGTCGTTTGACATTTTTCGATGTTTTTAAATAAATTTTTCGAAGTAAAACGATGATTATCATTAAGATGAACGTCGGGATTAGGAAATATGGGTTAACTATTGAAGTTACAATAAGCGTACCAAAAATTGCCATAAAAGTTTGTACTGAAAAACAACCAAAATTATTATTGTCTTCTTTAACTATACTAACCTTTAGTATACCTGTATCATTCAGCGACTTGGGAAAGTTCTCGTCTACTTCTCTGGAAATGTATTTAGTCAGTGGTTGATTGACGCGTATTTGCATTTCTATAACATCGATAACAACTCACCCCAGATCTTTTGAAAATTTATTTAGTATTCTTCCAGAAGGATTCGATTCAAAAAATCTCATCGTTGTTGATATTATGCCGTTGAACATGAAATTATGAATATTTTGTGAACTTCGAACACAAACTGTGAAATAGCCAATTAATCTGAAGGAAAATGAAGAAGAAGCAATGTAGAAAACGAACAACGTTTTTATTCCACCAATGCAAACCTTGCTATTCCGAATATAGTCATTGCTGCAAGTAATATTCCTTGAATATAAATACATTGTTCCGTACTTAATATAAACGATGGATTGTCATTTGTTTGGTGTGAACGCATCATTTCTTGTTTCGTCCTAAAATATTTTCATTTGATATAAATTTGCTTCAATTCTATTACCAAATAATGTCATACCAAATTGACACGAAGTAATCTACAGCGCTAGCCAAGAATTGAGCGAAAATGAAGGCAAAGAATATAATAAATAAAGTCGGACAATTAGTTCCTGCCCTCAAATAATTTACTAAAAGTGATCCTTTCACTTTCCGTTCTGCAAAATTCTCCATTAAGAAATGTTTTTCTTTTTTCTCATCATAATTTGCACGTGATACCATGGATTCTAGTGATGTTGACGATTGCGATGAAGTAACAGAGTTTTGTCGACTAAAAACTGGAAACACCTCTGTCACTTCGGGTGTTTCAGTTATTCCAATCATTTTAACAAAATCAACACCCCTTTTGTATAAATCATCCAAAGTACCTTGAACTTTAACCTCTCCCTAGCAAACCAAATTCATTGAAATTAGATTTATGTGTGCCATTTTATTCAATTCTCAACTTACATCTTTCAAAATAATAATCCAATCAGCCTCTTTGAGGAAATGAACTTGATGTGATACCAAAATACGTGTTGCTTTTTGCTTTGCCAAACGACTTTTGGGTCCAATACACTCCTCAAAAATGTGAGTGCCAACATGAGCGTCAACCGCACTCAATGGATCGTCTAATAAATAAATGTCCGCCTTCCGATAGCATGCTCGTGCCAAACTGAAATTGAATACCAAATCAATTTGATTCGATTTGACTGGTGGACCAGTGCTGGTTTACTGATCATGCTTACTTGATACGAGCCTTCTGGCCACCACTAAGACTCATTCCTCGCTCTCCGACAATGGTACGATCTCCATTTTCCAATTGTTCGAAGTCTTTTTCCAGCGCACAAGTTCGGATCACAGCATTGTATCGATCGCGATCATATTCTTCGCCGAATAAAATATTTTGTTTCACAGACGCCCCAAACACCCATGCCTCTTGACATGCATAAGAAATAGATCCATTCACATTAATCGTGCCAGATTTCAGTGGTAATTCACGTAGAATGGCCTGCAGTAATGACGATTTCCCTGAACCGACTGTGCCAATCACTCCGATTAATTTTCCATTGGGAAAATCGATATTCAACTTTGTAAGACACTCTTCTTGTTCAAGATCGTTGTTCTTGGTCTTGGTCTCTTTGTCTTTTCCATTTTTGTTTTTGTTAAATTTCCCATTCGAAGTATAGTCGAGAGTTGGTATGGTCCAGCAAGCGGTTGCGTTTTTCATTGAAATTGCTATGTTTGAATTGGATAATTCATTTTTTTGACCATTTAGTTGAATGTCGTTGCCCATCTTTTGTGTTGCCGTGCCGTTTTTCATGCCATTTTCTTGATTATTTTCAATATGTGTTTTCTTTTCATCCAAGTGTAGAAAGCTTTCCAGGCGGCCAAGTGCAACAAAAACCTCAGCCGTCTCTGCAATGCCTCGTGCATAGCGTTGTGACATCACATGCGAAACAAGTGAAAAATATCCAGATATTACGAAAATCCGATCCGGTGTGATTGCATTTGGGCCATCAATCGACACGATTGCCAACATTGTAAAAAATAGTGCCAACCGTGTTGTGAATAACATTGCACTCATGTGAACTGCTCGGATAAAGGAAGTTTTTTGAATAACCTTCAATTCCATTTTGCGAGCATAAGTGATGAGCTTGGTGAATGGCTTCTCTAAAAGTGTATTCAGTTGTTTATTATTTGCATTTCTATGATATCGAAAACAACTCACCCCAAGCGTACATTTTGATAACTTGAACACCAGATATTATTTCATCCATAAATCGAATCCGCTCGTCAGTTAAAATTGCAGTTTGAAGACGAAATTTTGATGTCAGTTTTCCAGCGTAACCTGTATTTTTCAAAGACATCTTAATCGTGACGAAGTGTTTTAATCGTGTTTAAAGAAACTTACTCATCATCGGAGCAATCATAAAAACCACAAAAATGCCAACCAATCCAGCATATCCAATTTCTGTCCAAATTAGGTAGCCAACAATGGACGTTAGTAAAGGTGCTATCCACAAATTATTTATGAAGAAAGTAGCCCACTCGAAACGATTTACCTATGTGTGTATTAAGACACATTTTGGTAGACATGGTACACATTTGAGTTCTCTTAAGATCAAGCGTTCAGAAAGACATACATTTATGCGAGCAATTGAATGGCGACAGCACAATCGATGCGCATCAAATGATGCAAGCATCATTCAATCGCTCGCATAAATGTATGTCTTTCTGAACGCTTGCTTAAGATAATTACTCACATCATTGGATAACAAATTTACAACTTTACCGGGTGATGTTTCACCGAGAGCTGTTTGCGATAGACGTAATGCCTAGCCATGAATAAAATTGATTCGAAGATTAAATCACGTCGCATCCGTAAATTATAAGAAAATGAAACAACTTACTTTGCGGTATATGAGGCTGCAAACCGCCAGTCGAACCTTCATGCCATTGTTAAATGAAAGATCAAGAATATTTTTATAAGTTAGTGCATTAAGTCCATTCAAAACTACTATTCCAGCTCCATATAAAACAGCCTCATTGTATGTTGTCGTTGAGTCTTTGCTAAAAATGACAATTCAATAAGATTTGCGAACCCAAACGGTTTAAGTTTGGACTTGCACGGAGCTGTGTAGAAATAGACGAAAACAGTATAAGACACAAATTAAACCACCAGTTTGGTGTACACGTGTTCATCAAAAGGTTCTCGTTTAAATACACACACAACTTCGCACAACTTCGTGTGAGTTTGCCATTTGGAAAACGTGGTTCTTTTTTTCAAATACCCGAAGTACTGAAGAAATAATCCCAAGAGGAATTGTTGTCCCAATCGAAAGACAATATCGTTAACAAAACATAATAGAGCCAATAGTGCATAATCTTTCCAGAATGTTGCAATTATCGTTGATAACAGTGAGTTTCGCTTTGATGTACGTTGATTCCAATTTCTATGAGATAAGAAAAACATGAAGTAGTACTAGCTATCTTTGAATTCATTATCACGTATGTTTGCATTGTCAATGGACGTATTTTTGTATTACACTCAGCTTTGAATTGGCTATTCACATTTGGTTGCTACCATTCGCTGTTCGTAAATCATATATGATCAGATATAATGACGGTTTTTTCCGATTTCAACAAAACTTACGTTTCTAAACGATTTCCAAGCAATTCTGATTTATCTTGTTCTCTTGTTTTAAACATATCCTCAAATGTCAGCACTTTTTCGTATCCTTTTTTAAAAAATGGAAAAAGCCATATAGAAAATATGTTTGATAAGAAATTTGCACTATCGGATGGGTTCGGTGGGAGTTTATATTGAGTTGAATCCATTTTTAAACTGTTCTGCTACACAACTATTCTATTCACTTAACTATTTTGCTTATCAATTAATTCAAACTAACAATAAAAAAACTAAATTGCTCTTTAAAATCATTGATCACAATCAAGAATGAGTAATTTTGAAATAGTGAAGAAATGCTTTTGGCTCAAGTCGAATATGTGTGATGTTTGCAAAAGCAACTCACATACTAACTCTGTTTCCAGTTCTGTTACAAATTAAATCATCAACACTTTGAAAAAGAACTGTAAGCGTTTGTTGACAAAGTAAATAGCATACATATGTATGTATTAGCCGATTCTACATTCACATGCATACGCGAGAAAACATGACGAAGAGGAGACGCGAATAAACAGAAAAAACATGTATAACATTTTTTTTGACATAGTAGCACGCGTTACTATAGTCTATTACATGAATCAATGACTCGGTATCTTGTGTGTTTTTATTTTGTGAACTTCTATTGCGTTCGCATAAACAACTTTACACAAAAAACACTACTAGTAGAATTGTTTAAATGTTGCAAACAACCAACGGTCGTCAAAATATCTATGGGTATTTCCATACAATATTCACTACAACCGCACAATTTACACTTGATATTGGGCACGATGGACCCAATGTTGTATTGATTTGCTCTGGGTAATTTCGTATTTGAAACATCCTCGTTTCATGATAATTATATTTATTAATTTTTTGTTTATATGTTTTCCACGCGTTGACATATTTTGTTTGCACACAGCTGTGTAATCTTTATGACAACTGGTAGTGAAATTTGAAATCACCGCTAATACAGAAACAACTCTTGTTAATTCGAATGATCTAGATTTCCATATAAATCTATCTTTTCAGGAGATTTGAAAATAAAAAAATTCACAAGCATCGGATTCCAATCTAATTCACTTTCAATTCAATTTTTGTAAAAATATTTTTGTATGAATTTCATGTTTCCAGCTACCTTGAGTTATCGAGAGTCAAAGATAAGATAAAAACAATTTGATATTGACTAAAACATCATTTTTACACATATTGCGAGTTGTAAGGTATTCGTTTTAATTTAATATTTAAGTCTTTTTCAATTCTGGACGACTGTCGGCAAATCTCTCTCTCTCTCTCTCTCTCTCTCTCTCTCTCTCTATCTCTGTAACTTTTTTCAAGTAAATTCACAAATCCTTTCACGATTTTTTATTTCTTTCAATAAATCTAGTCACTT